ATGAACATGATGACAATAAACCTTGGTTTAACTGGATAGTTCTGGTGTTTCATTGTGCCTGACCACACACTCAGAGAGTCCAGCACACCACCTGTAAACCTGCATATGACCTCATACAGTTCCAGATAAGAGGATATTTCGCAAGAACATAGAATCATCATGACAGGATCTGGAAGTTGCACAATATATCATCTCTGCAATGTCAAGTGTAATGTGAACGGTGGCAAATTACCTCAAAAACATCATGCTACAAGTTACTTTTCAGCTTGATACATAGAGAAAACTCTAACAGTTCACATTTTCCATGACGAACCTAAAAGAGAAGTCTGTCGGATAGAACATAATTTACTGAGTTTTAAGTGTTTATAAATGTACTTATTTTTTTTACAAGACTGGCACGCCGGCGCCACATGTGCACAGTACAATGAGCAAGGAACAGGTGAGAACAGATTTGGCAACAAACCAGAAATACAACACCAGTTGTATGAACATATTTTGGATACAGAAAGGATGATGTGGACCAAAAACAGGTGCTCTGTTGGCAGTGTCTGGCATTGTTGCCATCACATGACTTCATGACTAGTTTGTTAAATCAGCACCACAAAGCTCTGCATGATGAGTGCCAAATCAGATCTGAATGAAATCCAAACCAAAAAACTATTGCCTGTGTCTTTGCCAGTGTTACACCACATGAGAAAGGTTCCAAACTGCTTTTTTCAGCCTTTCTTTTAATTAATTAATTAATTTTTATCCATGCAGATACATTCACCTAGAAAATCATTCCAATCATCTAAGAGTTATTGATTCTTTCCATATAGTTACTCAAGTCATCTACTATTTATTTATTTATTTTTAATTTCGTAGCTGGAAAAACACCAATTATCAGTGTAGTTGCACTTGATCTGATTGGCTCTGTCCTGTTATATCTATGTCTTTAGCTATTATATAATTTAAAAACTGAACACTTACTACACGAATTGTAACATCTCTGTTAGAAACAATAAGCCAGTGGATATCCTGTCACACAGCTGACCCATATCTGATACAGGTAAGTGAGATACACAACAAAGAGCCAAGAACTGACACAGACATCACATGACTACAGACTGACTGCTCGGTTAGGTCTGTGGGGAACAGCGTGTCAACCAAAACTTCGATAGACTTTACTATGATTATCAAATCGACTGCATGTCGATGTGATTATTGACAAAGCTATCTGATAGCTATACGACAGAGCCGGACGTCTTATATGCAGCCAGAGGACAACGTGTAACCGAGTGTCCTGCTTTACTTTATCGAACGTTATTGAAAACCGATAGCTAGCTTTAACATCAGCTAACACTGCCAGCAAGCTCGAGTAGCTCCAACAAAAAAACATCTCAGGAGAGTGGTCAACCTTCACAAACACAAAAAATAACGAGATAAAAGGGGGTAAAAAAAACATTGGAATACCTTGTAGTCCTCAACGCTCTGCTCCATTTTTTCTGTCGCTTGTGTCGCTGCTTCCAAAACAAATGTTACGTCTTCCTGCTTCCGGAAAGTCCCGCCTACCGAGGGACGTCACGTCACCAAAGAACCAATCAGACGGCAGTATTTACAACCACAGTTTTGGTCAGTGGTGATTTTACTACTGATTACATTTTAAGACAGAAAATAGAAGTAGTTTCTGGTATATTTTTAAGGCATTGACCAGTGAAAGGTACTACACTTAATATTATGATAAACTAGGGCTCAGAATCAGGGCATCAGGTAACTTTAGTCAAGCAGTAAATGTACTGAAACAAAATGTATATAGAGCTTTTTACACAATAGATATACCAATTTAAGTTTGGAGTAAAATAATTTACTGCATAATCCCACCAATCCCCCTCTATGGTAGTGAAGTTTGACTAAACTAGATGAGACATGCATTTCATAGAGTTATTGTATGCAGATTTTTACAGGTTCAGATGAAAAACTCTAACCAGTGCATGCAAGGCAGAAATGAATAGTTACCCATTGATTGGTAACATTTAAAAAAGAACACTGACAATTTAGATGCAAGTAAAATTAATCCCCTGAGACACATTGAGATTTCAGGCACTACAAACTCAAGAGTTGAACTTCTCAAAAAGTCCCTCCTGTCAGCTGATTCTGAGACTTCCTGATCAGATAAAAACCAACACTGATTAACCTCAGACCAGCGCTGCTCTCCAACCACTAATCACAGTCATCTAAGATATTACAATAACAACAGATGCTTATCTGGAACACTGGAGGATTCGAACCAAAACCCAGAACAAACATCTCTACTGCGGTCCTAAACCATGAATATAAATAGGCATAATGTGTGTTTATTGTGAGAAAAACAAGGCAGAGACAGAATCAGTGACCACAAGTCAGCCACTGAGACAGAAGGATACAAGAAGTTGTGGCTACCAACAGAAGTAAGAGATGTACTTCCCCCTAAAGTACAACAAACATTAGAGGAAATACTTAAATTGACATTTGAACAAATCTGAAGATGTACAATTACCATGAGAGCTGAAACTGCCAGTGCTTTTAAAATCATTCTGAGGATGTGCAGTTACTGCAAGAGCTAATATAAATCATACTACCTTTAATATTCCAGCTAATTCTGACTTAGCAGTATTGTTATAATGATTGTCCAGGCATTAAAGCAGCTATATATATAGACATACTTAGGTGGTGATGCATGCAGCAGCTCAGGGAACAATGACAAACATCTACCACCAAAAAAAAAATCATAGTTAAAAAAATGAATGATTGTGTCCACTGCAGCACAATTTAAAACAAAGATACATTTTATTGCATTTGTCTAAATCTGACGCTTAAATTAACTTTGAAAATGTAGTTTGGATAGATTTTCACAGTGTTACAAGAAAAAAAAAACATATGTGACTTGCAAAAACTTTCAAAAGTAATGCAAGCAAAATACTGCAATTCAAAGGTTTATTAAAAGGCTGATTCTTTTTTTTTTGTTTGTTTCTGTGGTCAGCTAATTAGATAGTGTGTAAAATTAAGCAGGTTTTTAACTTTAATATTTAAGTTCATCAGGTGAATGTTTTATATAATACTGGAGGCCCCTAATCTTAATATTTAGATTCATCAGTAAATTTATATGATAGATATTAGAGCAGGGTCTTAATTACTCAAATGACTCAGGTAAATGTATGTAATAAATAATACTGTACAATCTTGTCTATGTAAATATCGTTTTTCTACTTGACAGTTCAGTGTCTGCTGTTCTAGTGTGCTGTACACATAACAGTGGCTTGACACAGTTCAAAGGTTCATATATCTGATAGTAAAGTGTATATTGGATATAATAACAGTTATTTACACATCTGTCTGACTGTACAGCATCTCACAGCTGCAGCTGCTTCTTTGTCGTAAGATTTTACGACTTTGCTGGAGCAGCAGGTCGGTGGGCTTTAGGTGAGGGGGAGCACGTACACGTGCATGAGAACAGGGCGAGAACGAGCCCGCCCACAGACCTCGGTCACGTGTACAACGTGCGTTCGTTTGGAAGTCAGTAAACAGGTGACGTCAAGGCGGCGTCAAGTTAGCGGAGTGAAAACCAGACGAGCGTCCGTGTTTACTTTCAGAATAAAAGCACTCACATACAGTAAAACTACAGATTAATAACGGCAAAGAGTTAATAATCCTTAAAGGGATTTAATGAAATGAATCTGAGACTTGGAAATTGAACTGAAACTGAAATGCTCTAATTCACTTTTTAAGGTGCTTTACTGGCATGGACGTTTCAACAAACAATATTTAAATAAACAAAATAGATTATATGGACATTCATTGCATTTATGACTAACTGAGAATTTCTAATGTTAATTATACATTATCAATACATGTACTAACTGATGAAAATGTCTGATAACTTTTTAGAAATCCAACTGTGTCTAAAACACTTTGTTGCTGGTCTTAAAAATTATTCCAAATATTATGGAAACTGCAATATGGACGAGTGCAATATCCAAATTGCAAGCTTCCTTTTTTGGGGGGTAAATTCTGTCACAGTGTACTATTTCAAGTGACGCACTGTGATGATACAGACATGCTCTGGCCTAACAGTCACACTCTAACTCTGCAGAAGTAAGGCCACGTTTGCTTGGTAAAGACTACAGCATTGTAGACTCATCTGAAGATTTGTTCTTCAGCAGAGAAGGAATCAAAAGCAAAAACTATAGTTTTTTTTTTTTTTAATGGAAAAGCTTGAGGAGTTTCTATGTTCTCCCCGTGCAGCGTGGGTTCTCTGCAGGTTCTCCGGCTTCCTCCTACAGTCCCAAAACATGTTGAGGTTAATTGGTGATTCTAAATGGTCTGCATGTGAATGTGTTTGTTTGTCTCTCTGTATAGCCCTGTGATAGACTGGTGACCTGTCCAGGGTGTCCCCTGCCTTCACCCTAAGTCAGCTGGGATAGACTCCAGCGCCCCCACGACCCTAATGGGGATTAAATGGTGTATAGATAATGGATGGATGGAAAAGCCTGAACTGAATTATGTATTGTTTGTCATTCATTTAGTATGGAAAATGTAATCAGAATCCATCAATTTTGTTTGTAAGTATGGGTTCACATATAAGTAACAATGAACACTGACAAGTGGTAAAAATAAATAAGACAAAAACATTAAAAAGCAAGTGTTGCCAGTCAAATCAACAGTACATATAATTATTTAGAGTGCTATTTAAGTGAGACAGCTGTTTGCTGAACAACTTATTAACAGGAAGTGTTCCAGTCACAAGTCATCAATAATTATTGATTTACAAGGAAACTTTTTGCAAGTTACTGGGATAAAAGTCATAAATGACTGACTTGTTATCTAATGCTCACAAGCTGATCAGAATGCAATGATTAATTCATAATCAGACACCACAAATTCCTCATCTATATAGATTTAGCAGCTTTACTTACAACTCTGTAAGTGTGCTGCAGGAACGCTGTTATTGTGAAATCCCTAACCGTTATTAAGCCTTACTAACACTCGCTAGCTTGCTGCCGCTGGTGTCGAGCCTTGCTAGGGGAGAGAAACCGTGGGAGAAGGCAGAATACGGAGGATTAAAACAAGTTTAAGCTCGATAAACATCTGGCAACGTGGAAGAAAGAAAGCGAACAGGTGGGTGAACGTCTTCCCTCGTGTCTGTCATTTACACTTCGGAGTTCGGGCTCCTGCTAAAGCCCGAAAAATGGAGGTGAAATCTGGGTCTATCATGAGGAGGCTGCACACAAACACAGAATAAACAAGCAGATCAACAACAACAACAACAACAACAGCTGCAGCGGCGGTAACAGCCGCTCAGGAAAAATCCACAGCAGGCAGTTTGAAAGGAGACTTTGCAGAGAGGGCAGTAAAGAGGATCAGCAAGGGGTCATTACAAAGAGCTAACGGTGCTGCAGCTACAGCAGTTAGCATTGGGAGCTACTGTCATGCAGCTCGCAGAGGTGGTGGGGGCTGCGACAGTCACAGCTCCCAGCGTTTAATGCAGCTTTATGTGTTTACCTGCACATATGTTAACGCATGCAATCCGTAAATATCACCTAAATAAGGATAAAGAAGCAGCAGCATCTATTTGCAATCAGTGAAAGGTGTTTGCATTCGTAGCTAACTTTGCTTTTTGCTTTTTTTCAGGTATCACCAGCAACTTGACAACATCTCTTCTCTCCCCTGGCTCTCAGTGTGTAAGGACACCACCCAGTACATCATATCTTAAAGTGCCTCTCTGCCTGATAGGTCATAACTTCCCCTACATCTCCTTCATCAGTGCAAAAAAACAAAAAAACCTATTTGTACACCAGCAACAAGCAAAGTCAGACACACCACAGCTACCAAAGTTCACTGTCAGTGCTTCATTCAGTTTGGTGCCCCAACATAAACCCTCACCCAAGTGAACCTCCTCGTCATTCATCAGCGTCGTCCCATCAACTCAGCCCATCTCTCTCTGAAGCAGTATTTAGCACCGTTATGGCCTCCATCACCCAGTCATCCGAGCCCGAGATCCCGGACAACCACAAAGAGAGCTGGCTGGCGCTGCTTTCCGCCGCCGAGGTGTATTGCCAAAAGTCTGGCTGCGACCTGGCCATACTCACAGCCTGCAAGAAGTTCAGGTCGTCGAGCGGAGAAGGAGAAGGGCTGAGGAAGCGGGAGAGTGGCAGTGCCTTTCCGAGGGAGTGCGACTTCTCCTACAGTGTATGGGGTCAGGGATTCCTGGCCGAGTCGGCGCGCCGCTACATGGATGACATTGGTGTGCTGCACTCCACGACCATGCTAACAGCCCAAAAGCAGTCACGCCAGGCCGGGACAGAGGGGGGAACCAAGCTGGTGGTGGACTTGACCTCTGACCCCGGACACAGGGGGGTGAGTTTGTGCTGCAGAGAGATGTTATCAAGGCCGATAGTGATACCTATGATTGGTGATCGAGAAAGACTGATTTGGAACTGATATCAGCAGCATGTGATTGCAGGAAAACTGTCATTCATAACCAGGTTTCTTCTTTAACAAGGATCATTATTAGTAAATATGAATGATAGAAAAATCAGTGATGATGCAAGGACACTGTGAGATCGATTGATTAAGAGTTACAACTGCTTTTCCTTTCTGTTTTCGTAATCTTTTACTGTTCTACCACTTTTTTTGCCCACCAAGGCCCAAATCTTGCATCTGCAGCTGCCTCCTAACTTAGCTGATAGCTGTTAGCGTAGCCTTAGCCACTTGAAAGAAAGCCAGTTTCCTGGTTTGTGGCGACGGTTGTGCTTCTTGTTCAGTTTTTGCAGGTTGTGTCTCTACTAGAGAGACATGTCTGTCAGTTAGAACAGATTACTAAAGTTAATCTTACTCTAGGAAGATGTTATGGTACTATAGATAGTGTTAGCTGCAGGCTAAGAGGCACAACTAACCTCTTAGTGATAGCCGTAGCCTAGCACTGTCAGCAAAATAGGTTCCAGCTGCACTGACACCAACAAGGTAAATATTCAGGCATTTTTAGTGTAACAGGGTAAACCAGGCATGTGTAAGGTTGTGGTGTTTGAACTTCAGCTACCTCACCACTCAATCACTAATTCACCAGAGCTGCTAGAGTTTGCAGATTTACTCATCTGTCCCTGTCTGATTGCTTGAGATCACAGAGTGGCTGCATTCGTGCCAAAGTAACACATTTGTTTATCAGAGATCACTTCATACAAATAACGATACCAATAATCTGGTAAATGCCAAATATCAGCCAGGTCAGTGATTCCTCCTGAGATAATCGTTCAAAACATCCATCATATGTGTAAATGTCTGTGGTCGTTGCAGAACTTTACAGGAGACGGTGGGGTGGGTGGAGTCAGTCCCAACAGCAGACTGTACTCCCAAAGCTACCCGTCCATCTACAGCTCAGGAGGAGGGAACGGCCAGGGCGGCGGGCAGAACGGTACCGGAGACAGGGAACGGGAGAAGAGCGCGCTGGAGGCCGAGCGGGGGAGGCAGAGGTCTGGGATCGTGGATTTGGAAGAAGAGTGTGAGGATGAGGAAGAGGAGGACGACATGGACGAGAGGAGACCCTACGGGAATGAAAGTGCTGGTGAGGAACGATGCAGTAATCTGAGTGAAAGCAGGTTTTCAAAGTGACAAATTGAAGCGTTGTAAAACCAGACAGGAGGCTTTCTACTTTTTATTTGTGACGTTTAACTTGCAGTGACCTCCTAAGTGGCACTTTTATGGACAGAATCGATTTTGAACCGCAGTGTAGATTGTGAAGATTCACGTCATCATTCTGCTGCAGGTGTTTTCTCTATGGACGAGGACTCGCTTTCTCGGGACTGCGAGCCGTTCTTTGAGTCGGACGGAGAGGAGGAGAGCACCGACGGTAAGAGTTGAATCTGCTGAATCAAACTAGTCTTGTATCCGATGCAGAGATACATATATTACACATTTGTTTTCCTGTCTGTATCAGGCTCGTTGAGCGAGGACGCCCCTCCGCCATCGCGTGGCATGGCGATGGGTCAGGCTGCCTACTCGTCCCGTCACGCCCACCCCATGGCTCTGGCTCGCTCCCTGCCTGTATCTGTGCCTGTGTGGGGCTGCAGAGGAAACAGAGCTGCTCCTGGAGACAGCAACAGCGGAGAAAGGGTGAGCAGATACCATTTTACGAAAGTACAGCTGCTGGTTGGCATGCAGAGTTCTACATCTCATAATGGGTTAGCCAGCTATTTTTGGGTTTCACTTGAGTTTTTTTTTTTTTTTTTACTGTGGTCAGCTATGTGTGGGTTCAGAAGGTCAAACATGTCAATAGCCTGACTACTGACCAATCAGCTCACTGGAAAAATGATCTTATCTACAGGATCCTAACAGGGAAAAAAAACTGAGTTCAGAAAAAAAAAAGAAAAACTTCCCATAAATCAGTAGTCACTCAGTATGAAATCTGACTATAGTAATTTCCATTCCATTCTGGATAAAAATACTAAACTGTTTTGGTCTCCAGGCTATTTTCAACTGTTATGTTTTCTAAAAGTTTAGAATTCAGAATTTCTTAGAATGAATGAATCACGATGTGAGAGTGTGCAGGACAGAGTGAGCTTGCTGTTGCAGAAAGCAAAGCAAGAAATACAGTGTGCAACTAAACACACACTCCAATACAGAGCTGTCTGCAAAGCAGCTCTGCTTTAAGTGTTAACTGCACCAAATCAATCAATTAAAGACTAGCAACAGACTCAGAAGATTTTCTCGCTGTATGCTAAACACGTTGAAGCATTTTTCAACCTTATTTAAAAAGACCTATGTAATAATTCTCAAGATTTTTTATTGCTCTAGTCTTACTTTAAATATTATACTAGCTCATTAATTACACTATAGATTTTAATGACTGAAAGTTATTGGTTGGATCTCATGTCATAGTGGATTCTGTTTGGTGACAGTTGGATTAGTGAACACAAAGTTATCCAGGATCATCAGTGTTGGCTGGATTATCAAAAACATGAGCTCAACTCAAGGCCTTTTTTTCAGATAGTAGTGGCTGGGTAGATAGTGGGTCTAGTACTGGAACAAGAACTGGTGTTTTTCTGTGTTGGTCATATCTGTGACTAACAGTCCTCAAAGATTTAATTAGTAAAAACAGGAGTAAAAAAAAAAAAAAAAAAAAGTCATATTAGGTTACACAAGCAGGCTACAGGCTTTTAGTGTCTTTTCTAAATCTGAATAAATGTACAGATCTCCTGCAGGTCAGCGGTAAAGTGCAATTATCATCTGGTCTGACAAAGGAGCTGTGTTTCAGAGTGTTATTAATATTTGAACAGTGAAAATTACCTGGTGTCAACTTCCTTTTTTAACCACAGCGGCTGAATGTTCTTTTTACCACACAGACAGAAATAGTTTAGTTAAGAATTAACCCGAGGAAACGTGGTTCAGATAAACTGGAAATGCTCTGTTCCAGCAGTTAACTGAGATATACAAACAGAGATCCTGAAAGGAAAATGGTCATAAAAAAAAACCACTCAAACTAGCCGTTAGTTTTTATGTCGTTTGCTGTCAGTTGACACATTTCATGCCGACTAAAGACCGAGACAAAGACACCATTCAGTCCTCAGTACTGATGCACAAACTAACATCCACGACGGCTCCATTGGCTCGTGACTAAAAGTGCGTAAGGTCACACCAGGCAGATATTTCCTAAGTTGCACTTCAGAATCCAGATTTTTTCCCCCCCATTTCTGTCCAGATTTTCTCCTAATCCATCCTCACCATCCTGTGTTTTTTTGTCTCCCAGGTGGGCTGTGCTGACCTGGACCACATCGCTGCCAGTATGAAGGCCCTGCTTGCCCCCGGAGCCACTGACGGGACGGAAATGTTCGGAGCCCTGCCTCGACCTCGTCTCAACACAGGAGACTTCTCCCTCAAACACTGAGAGAGAGAGGCAGAGAGAGGGAGGCAAGTAGAGAGAAACAGAAAGGGGTAGAGAATCAGAGAGGAAAAGGAAATGTGGAGAGAGGTGACGGGAGGAACCCTGGATTGGCTGGCAAATGTGACAGTATAGTATGTGAAACAGTGTAAAAGCTAGTACCTCCATTTATTTCTTACTAACCAAAATTAACGGCACATGCTTTGAGGAGTCATGTTGTTATGAACACTAATAACATTCTCAACACTACACCCAACACCCGCCCACACTTTGTCACGGAGCATTTCACAACACTAGCTACTACACATGCCACAGCACTACATTAGGATCGGACCTCCAGATGAGTGTGCAGTGACCCACTGCACTGAACAACCAGGACACTAAAGCAGCATAGTGGAGCTGACAGTTTGGGATGTTTTGCCTTTTGGTCAGATTACCTGTGAAGTGATGAGATCTCAGGAAACAACCAATCAGTACCTGGTTCATCGTCGGCTCCGGTGCTCGATCAGACGCTGCTTTCAGTGATATTAGCTTTACTGTAATATGTGGCTCTAAAGCTAAAGATGCTGTTGAACATATTTTTGGGGGCTTTCTCTCTGAGAGTTGGATGAAAAGATGGATACCACTCTTATGTCTGTTTAATGTAAAGCTAGAATCAGGGACACTTAACTAGTACTATACTTTCTGCGCAAGTACAAGATTGTACATGTGGCTTGAATTTCACCATCTACTTAAGTCTGCGATCCCCATTTTGCAGCCTAAAATTTGTCTTCAGCTACACTACAAGGTCAGAAGCTGTTTAAGTGCGCATTTATGGGACCTTCGAGCTGACTCCAACCAGACTGGAAAGTGTTATGAATCTGGGCAGAGCACCTCCTGAGCTCATGGGGAAACTGATGTAAACAAAATGGAGACTTTGGAGCAACGACCTGCTACTGTGCAGTGAGAAGAAAACAGAAGCAGTAACCTAAACAAGTCTGGATGTTCTTCAATGAGAACTGGAGTTGAGATTGAACCATCAGTTTAAATATCTGTTGCCAACATTAGCCTGAAGGGCTAGAATGTTTGGCATTGCTGGGCCATCGTGTCCGCTGCTCCGGGTGGTGGCGTGATACTTGTAGAAAACTAGACTTTAACTCAAAACATGTGATATTTACCTTGGCAACCCTAATGTCATTGCTACAGTCAAGGAAGCTTCATACTAGATCTATAAATCCCCCATGTTACCAAATAATAAGGACCCAACATCAGTTCAGACCAAGATCTTAGATATCTTCTCTGCAGCCTGAGCCTAAACGCATAGCAGATCGGTTGCTACGCTCTTGTAGCATAGTTGCCTCACCTACACAAATTTTGTGCTGATGTCCATGGAGAGGTCTCTGTACACTCTCACCTACTTTGCTGAAGATGAAATTTAGTTCACATGAACTCTTGCATACTTGCAGACACTGACTTTATAACAACAACTGTGCTGTCTGTGCACATCCTCAAGGGAGTATGAGGCATCTGTGAGTATGCAAGGATCCACTTGGTCTACATTTCATCATCAGCCCAAGTCTGTGGACATCCGTGTGCATCCAAGAATTTGTGGCAAACACTCCACAAGGGCGGTTGGGTTTTTCAGAACGAGCGTTTGGAGGGTGACTGCACATAACAGAAGATCTGTCCATGTAAAGTAAAGGCAACGAGTCTGTGTGACCTGAACAAAAAATGTATTTTATGCTTGACCAAATGAAACCCCAAGTACAAAAACTAATTGATAAACATATTTGCTACTCTTCTCTCAGTCTTGATGATTTTGGAACTGGTGTGTGCTGGATAAAACTTCTGTCTGGGGCACCAACAATTCCTCTATGCATAAAAAAAAAAACAAGACATAAGAGTTGTATCCATCTTTTCACAAATCTCTCAGAAAGAGAAAGATATTTCCAAAATGATCCATAAAGGTTTAAAAATGAGCAGGAAGAGTCCAGACGTTAGTAGCAGTGTACTTTGTTCCATTGTTATACAATTGTCCACATGAGCTGGGAGGGAATATTTGCATAAATTACAAAAATGTTTGCATCTGTAGGTCATTAACTCGTCTTATCATGAAGACGGCAGTTTCTACTGTAGGGCCTCTTCGTCATTTAGCACAACATGCTAAAGCGTTAGCATCACCACATGGATGTTTTCTCTGTCCGCTCCCATCATTTACTGGGTAAAATGACCAACAGGCCTGCCGCGGCCCCCCTAAGAAACCACTCTATTCCTTTTGAGGGATAGAAACCAGAGAAATGGTTGACTTAACATGAAGCTTGTGGCTTTACAAAATGTGAGCAGAGGACACCAGCACCTCCTCATAACATGCCTATTTCTACTTTTACTTTTGCCAATGAATGACTGACTGATAGAATGATTGTAAACCAATACTGAGTTCTAGGGGATGTTGTGTTTTTTTGTTTTTTTTTCGCTCCAGGTATCTTGTTGAAACGACTGAATGAATGAGAAAGTGACTGTGTGAGAGAGAGAAAGATAGAGCGAGAGAAAGATAAAGTCGATTTTTGAAAGGAAAAATGTCCATCTCTGACATTTTAAAAAAACAGGTAAATGTTCCGTTAAGTACTTTTATGTTTCAAATAAAGGAGCAACACCAAGAGAAAAGATGTCTGTGTGATTATGTCAACACACACTTAACCATGCAGTATGATTAGACGCCTCCAGAGGGCGCTGCTGCACTATGTTGCCCTGTTCAGACAGCAGTAGGTTTTCACATGTGAGGTGATTTGATTCACAGCAATAGGCACTGACATGAAATCATTTTTAAAAAAAGGATACACATATGTAAAAGCAAATTCCAAGGAATGATACAAGTAATAAAAAGTACTATACATATGTACAGTGTGTAAATTATTCACCTGTACATGAGATATGTAGCTCTGCTGCTTCTGTTCATGTCACATATTCTGTCATTCAGACATTCAGGTCACTTTTAATGTTCCTCAACACTTCATCAAGAGATTCACACCACAGGGACGGAAAGAGTCGCAGTACATGCTCGGTATTTGTTATTGGACCGTACATCAAGTCTGCAAACGCAAAATGCTAATATTAAATCCACTATCTAACAAATGATTTGACTTTTAAACTGATTCGTGACAGCTCACCTGTCTGAGGTGAAGGAAAGCGTGACTTGCCGATAGACCCTGATTAATCCTGTCTCAGGGATCATTTTTAATTTTAGGTAATGAATGAAGTTGCTGCTGTTGTTCCACGTGTGTAAACCAACACAACTCGTTCTGTCTTTAGACACACTCAAATGAATCCTACTGCTGGCTGATGATGCAGGTACTTAATAAACAGAGGAAAGACTCCAACAAACAGCCAGAAGCAACAAACCAAGCTTGAGCTCCCTTTAAAGTGTTGTTAGAACCCAAATGAATTCATTATGAGTGTGTCTTATTAATCTGACCTGTTCAAATCTGTCCTAATTGTAGTAAAGTTTAATTTTTATGGGCGTTTTAGTTTGTAATAGATGTGAAGTTGCAGGGGACAGTAAATAAGAAAGTTGTTCTGTGATTTTACACCCAAATGGTCCTTTGTGTGCTCATTTCTGGACGAATATTGGTTCTGAAATATGGAGGGGGAAAAAAAGAAAAGTCTTCAAACAACTCCAAATATGCTCCTTGTGCTTGCAGTTCAGACATGTGCAGTGTTGAAATTGAAATAGAAATGTTACTGTTTGTTGTTCTGCCTAAAGGAGTGCATGTCTGAAGGGGAATTCAACTCTGATGTGCAGCCTCACACAGATTTAACAGACGATGTCTGTTATGAGACAACAGTAGAATTTATTGACTACACATTATAAAAGATACAGACTCGAAGGCTCTCTAGTTCATGCAAAGCCCCTCATGTAATAAAAACATACTAAACTTCCCCTACGTTTCTAGATTAAATACAATAAATAGATACACCATATTACGGAAAACAAACAAATTGGGCATCTGTGGATATTTTCTTGAAATCAATCATCTTTCTTCATGCACCACAGAAGGCAGATACAATCTACAAAGATGTCCCAACGTGCTCTAACATTTGATCCCCAAACTTCCCAAAGCTTTAACCTTCCTCCTGACACCTTTTTAAATTTACACTACTCAACCCCTCATCCCATTACTGTGTCACTGATCCTTTTTCCGAATGAGGCAGAACGAATTCATTCCCACCCAGAAGGCGGGGAAGATCTTCTCCTGGACGTTGGCCTTGAACTTGTGAATCAGCCGCACCTCCTTCTCGGCCTCCCCCTCCACCAGGAGGAACTTAATGATGCCGGCGGGCTGGTCCACGTAGACACCAACAGTGGAGCCGGCGGGCAGCGGGACGTCCACGTTGTCACTGTTGTGCCAGACCTGGTAGCAGGATCCAGACCAGCCGGCGCCCCAGGAGCCGCTGTTCTCCCCGAGGCCACAGGCCCCGTCCTGGCTCTTCCTGGGGGCGCTCTCGCAGACCAACCCGATCACCACCCAGCCGTCGTAGTCCACCTCCCAGTACCCCCGATAGCCCAGCAGGCTCTCCTTACACAGCACCTAAACACAGAGGGAGGCAGTGAGCTGCAGTCCAACGTTCCATAGCAGAGAATTAGTCAATTTATTGATTGTTTTGTTTGCATGTAATCTGTTTTGACAGCATTCATCAAAATGCCAAAGATTCCTCAGTTTTAGCTTCAAAACATGAAATTCTCTCGTCATATATGACAGCAGTGACAAAAAGAAACACTGAACTTAGAATCTGGGAGACTTTAATAAGGATTTTTTGTTATTTTACTTTTTTAAAAAGGATTAGTTGATGACTAAGAATGTGTCCTGAGAAAGTGTTATACCAGCACATGCCAAACATTTACTACCTCACGTTGTCTTTTGTACTTTAGTTACACCAACACAAGTTCTGAAAAACTACAGGAAACAACCACAGAAGTATTTATAAAGGGACGTACAGGTAAGGCCAGAATTATTCATAGTCAGGACACATTTGGAGTTTGACTATTAGGTTACTTCTGGCTGGAAATAAACTAAAGAAGTGACAACATATGGTGAGACATTGTGTCATAGGTGTTAACATGAGTACAAACATTAATAATTTTTAAAAAATCATGTTCATCATTATACATTTATGTTTATTATTTTTTATTAGAATTTTGACCCTGAGTATTTTCATGTTATACTACTTAATGCTTCCACTACATTTCTGAGGGAAATATTGTACTTTTTACTCGACTACATTTACCTGGCAGCTTTAGTTCCTTTTAATATGAAGATTGTACATAACAGGTAACACTCCCAAACTTAGTGTGCTGTCAGGTCAGATGTCTATAAGTTGTTCACAATTCCACCAAATAGGGACTTTTTCCCTTTGAGTTTCTCGTGTAGTTTTATTTCAATAAATGTTCGAATGATGCAACATCTTACCAAAAATCAAAGATTAAAAAAACAACAAAAAAAACAACAACAAAAAACCAAAAATAGATGTATGGATCAAAACTGTTTGCTTTACTTTCCTCTCCTGTTAATCATGTTTGAAGCCCTCGGATTTATCTGCTGTCTCTGCATATAAAACTTGATATAAAGTAATTCAACCTGCAGCAGCTGCGGCAGTAACCTGCTGCTGACACACTGATGCTTCACTATTAATAATCTAATGATGTCATATATAATAACATATCAGTCAGACAGACTAAACCAGCATCTTTACTGTAATAGAGAACACATTTTGCTAACACCTGTGTACTCATATTTAAACTCATACAGGACGTTATCTTTTTTCCACTGCTGTGATGCTACTTTTGCTGAAGTAAAGGATCTAAACAGCCTCTTTCACCACTGACTGCCGCTGTGGTTTCAGCTTTAACGTCAGGCCTACCTGTGGTGAGTGATCGTATCTCTCGGGTCTGTTGGGATACGGACAGACTGCATCTGATGTGCGAGCCACCTTCAGGCCACCCTCTGAAATCCACAACAGCTTCTGTGCAGTTTTATCATCCAGGGAGAGGGGGAGCCAGTCTGAGGAGACGAGGAGGGAAAAAACACAAGCAGAGAACAGGAGACTGAGGGTGACATGGATAAAAACAGTAAAACATGAAGAAATGAACAGTGGAATGGTACAGGGTGTCTTTAGATCAACAATTTAATGAATATGTCATTAAGTAGAATTTGACCATGACAGTCATGGAGTTAGTGCCCTTTCCCTGAGTTAATGGATTTAAGCAGGCAGATGGATGACAAATAAAAGTAAAACCCAACATAAAAATGTGATGTCTAAAGTGTATTTCATTTCCATCATTAGCTTGAAGTGATATTGGCGATAATTCATCAACAGGTGTTTAAAATGTGGCCTTACGTTTCATGAAGTCGGCCCTGGTGGTTGGTTCAGGGATGTTTGGCTCATATGGCGGCAGCTTTTCTGAAAAGAAACACAACAAAATACATTAAACTTTATCCATATTTAACATGACACCATGTATTTTATTTAATGCATAGATCTCAATGCTTTATGTTGAGCTTTACCTTCTACAGCATTACTGTTTTTTCTCCCTGCAAAACAAAAAGATTCAGAGTCTGAGACACTGCCATCTACATATACAGTCAGTCCATATTAAATCATCAAAAATTTACAAAATGTTTTTGCTCAACCATCTCCAACCCGGCAATATTTTGTTTTTGTGGTACAACTTTTCACACATGCTCAATCAGTCATGACAGTTCAATGACTTTTTTTTTCATTTTTGTGATCAAGTATTTCATATTGTAAAGTATTTTGTTTTGTATTACTGAGACATGCAGCTTCATGTGCTTCAGAAGACAATTTTTCAATGTTTCTTTTTGTTGACAGTGAAAAAATCCAAGGCCTTTTTTTTTTTTAATAGTTTCTGTGATATTGTCATCCAAACAGCCTCAGATTTTTGTAGGTTGGAAGGCAATATTTAAATAAAAATATCTCAGAAAGTATTTGATAAATTAACCTAAAAACTCACAGATACCTATTTAAGCATCCATAGTTTATGATAAAACAGTTTCAAGTAAATCAGAAATGGTCGAGCCCCTGATTATATGAGGTGGAATAAACCTTTAGAATTTCAGCCTCTCCGCTCAGATTAGATTCTCAGACTGGTTCATCTAACAAAGAGGTGAAATGCTCGACGCTCAGGGTGGCATCGGCGGTAACTTTAAACCTTTTCATCCTCCTCTGTAGGCTCCCTCTTCATCACTGCTGCTGTCAGGGCCATTCATCTGCACTAAATCCCCCGCTGCTCTCAACATACTGTAGATCACAGAGCCAGCAGTGTCGGCTCAGCACTGATTCATGAAGTTTTCTCGTGCCTTCCCAGCTTCAGGTTTCAACAGAGGGAGTCCGGAGGCCTGAGCGTACATTTGTTGAGCACACACATCAGGGCCCCTGACAGCAGGAGTCCTGTTCTAAGAATACACTTTCTGTAGGATGCTGTTACTTCACACCGCCGCCAGCGTGTTTGTCGTGTTGTGGGCCAGTGTGCAATCTCTGTTAGTTTGTGAGTCACTGTGTCGTCTGACATTCGGAGAAAACTGCGATCCCATACTGGACATGTTCGGTCACCCCTGTGTGCAGGTCACACGAGCTCGGGTTGCTGTTTCTCACATTTCACAGACTACTAATCCCTCATCATTCTTACTCATCTATCGGACGGTTACATCACCGCATTTGCTTGATTTGTGGTTTCTTTGGTATCACCAGAATTAGACAGAACAGATGCGATTTTCCTCTTAAGGAGGCCTCAAACTGCTGCACCTGGCTGGGAGGTGGACATGTGAATATTCTGCCTTTAACGTCAAAAATCCCACTTGTTGCAGAATATTACATGTACTGTGTGTCTTTTAAACCCAATATAGCAAAGGTTTATAGTTGTTATATTAAGAAATGGTATAGTCTGCTTTGTCTGTGACTAGGTGCTGGAGTTTAAGCAGAAAAAAAGCACATTATAGCAACACAAAATAGAAACAGACACAATGAGTCTGTGGTAAGCAAATAACAAATGCAGCGAGTTTTGTACTTCTCAATACACTTGTGCATGCAGCTAGAAGTTATAGCGAGAGAGTTGATTTCAGGATAGCTACGTAATAACTATGAGCATAGCCATGATCACATCCTTTCTTATGAAAAGCTAAAAAATCATGGCTGTATATATGCAGAACACACTACTTTAAATATAAATTTACTGGGAAGCCCAGACTGGGTGAGTTTGCATCATGTTCAAACATATTGTGACCATGAAAGGTGATTGATGAAGAGCTGAGATCCTTTACTGAAGTAATGTCACAACAAAATGCTGAACTGCAGTTAAAAGTCCTGAGTGAAAAATGATTTCAATAGTGAAAAAAAACCCTCAGTATAAGTAATATATACCTGAATCTGTATTACTGTTTCAGTTGGTCAATGTTGAACTGATTTTAAGGTCATTTAATCTATAAAAATGCATCCTAATTTATTTAGCATCATGCATTTTACATTCCTTGTAAAAAAAAAAAAAAAAATTAGGAAAAAAAAATCCTGCCATTAAAATACGCTTAAAGCAGTAGAAACTGTAAAACTGGCAAAAAAAAACCAAAAACAAAAAAAAACAGCAAATACCTGTAAAATAAAGATACTTTTAGCTCATTTAAATACAGTAAAATTTTGTAATTTTGTGGTCACATGTTGTCACAGAATAAATGTTAAATAATGCAAATGTCTATAAAATAACAGTCTTCTTTTCCTAATTGAGAAAGTCTAAATACAGTGGAAAATGTTTTTTTTTCACTGTTAACATATAAATTCATGCTTTTTTTTCTGTTATTTTACTAGTTGTCATCTGTAATTTAACAAAACAGGGAAAACTTACTGTAAAAATTACAGTTTAAAAGTTTTTAACATTTTTTTTTACGGTATGTGAAATCTTAGTTTGTCAAGTGAAACATAACTATAGCTGTCAAAACAGAATTCATGGAGTAAAATTGCAGGATAATATAACTATATTAGGAACTACAGTATTTTTAGTAAATTATTTTGATATTCAGTGCTTCACTTACATGTCATGTTTCAGTTTTATGTGTATTTTCTTTCATTGTTTTGGTTTTGTTCTTTCTTTTGTCTTTTTTAGTGTTTGTTCTGTGAATTTCTAGCCAAGTGTGATGTGTGTTATTTTATGACTGAGTAACCAGATTACCAAGGTGTTTACATATCATAAAGTTTGATTTACGTGTGGTTTAATGGCCTTATTAACTTGACTGTAAATGCACTGACTTCCCTCTATGACCTCAGAGGGGACTGATTGTGTTTTGGCTCCTGCTTGCCCGGAGATCCCGACACATGTCTGAGTCTGAGGAAACGCGACCTCTCCACCCTGCATGACCTTGTGCTGGGGAGGATGCCAGCAAGTTGACAACCAGCAGGACAAATGGGAGCATTTGAAACATCTGCAAACATCAGATGCGTCTGCAGGCATTGCTTACTCTGGATCGTGCCGGCCCGTACTTCTTCATAAGTGTGACAAATGAACTGGGAAGGGCTGTTGGAGCGCTAGTGGGCCAACTTTAAATCGTCTGGATTTTAAGGCGCACATCCAACTGCTCAGTGTCACTGGGTGCTGCAATTAAAAAAAAATCTAAATATAAGCTTTGTTTCTGTGATGCAGGAGATCATTATGCTGAATACAATCCCCAGACTGAAGTCAATAAGACCAGAAAATTTGATAATTGACCGGGCATGCAGGCTTATTAATTGGACCCTACTGAGGCTTAGGATCCAATTACACACCAGATTTGAGTTTGGATATCATGCACTCGTCATTGACTTCAGCAGCACGAGTTCTAAAGGAAGTATCCTTATATTGTCAGTGCGTGATGCTGAACATGAGCCTGGAGTGAGGAGGAGAGATTTGGCAGGACAGAAGGCGGATAGAGTGAAGGTCACGATGCTGTCATTGGAAATTGGGTGAGCAGCAAGTAGCTGGTGACAGATCACTTCATCGGTCTTTCTTCTCTTCCTCCTCTGATCGCTTTCATAATGGAACACAACAGGTGAGAGAAAAGAAAAGCCTTGTGGAACAGTTCATCAAGGCATTAAGTAGGAATTACGAAGGAGAGATTGGAGGGGAATGCGACACTGTAACCCGAACCAGTAAGATGCAGCACTAACTGTACCGCTGGTATCTGTCTGAGGTGAACCAACACCTCAGGTAACCTCAGAGTGAGATATCAGACTGTCTGCGGGTGAGCCGGTTGATTGGAGACATGCCAGGTCTCCAGCTGCTCCGTGGAGGTTAAATCCCTGTGGATGCCTGTCCACGCTCAGCAGGATCAACAGGAGAGCCCAGCAGGGATAAACAGATACTTCAAAAGATTGATGACTTAACATCGCAGCAATAGAGACATGCAGGAGACAGAATGGGGTGCGAGATTGAGGTGTGAGGCATAAAAATATTTAAGGTCAGTGGGACCATAAAAAAAGACACCTCATGAATCAAACTGGAAAGAAAGGATGGATGTCTGCTTCTCAGGAGGATTCCACTTAAAAAGGCTTTTCTCGGATGGATTCTGGATCCGAACCAACTACAAGCCACAGAACATGAGTGACATCGTCCCCGGCGCATATTTAAAGGAGTGAACAGCTCAGCACGGTCCACCTGAAAGATCATCGGCGGACCGCCCGTCGGCTTACTAGAACTGTTTGTTTTGGGCGGTCATGACGTGCGTTTTTTCCCTCCCCAGATTCCCCTCGCAGTGGGACAGAGCTACATTATCTGTGCAGATCAGGTTCGAAACATCCCGCTGAGGCAGCAAGATCAGAAGATAGTCAGATGAGGAGGAGGAGGAGGGAGATCCAGGCTCATCCCTCTGGTTCCTGTCAAGTGTCAAGACTTCCTGGCTAGAAGCCCTGTGGATGATGAGTATATGTGAGATGGAGATGGGAGCTGCATGGAAGATGGATGGAGAAGGATTCTGGGTAAAGGATAAGTTAAAAAAAAAAGGATCTACAGGCTGCCACAGTAAAGTTTCATGTTTTTTAAGCATCAAATCACATCTTCTTACTTTCATTTATGGCAACAAATGACACTTTTGATGCCACTAATCAAATAAAGATGTCAAAGGGCAGAACCCCGAGGCGACGGATGTTACATAATGGCAAAATCTGACAGCCATAAATAACACAGAGATAAGCTTTTACATTTTGGTACTTGAATTACTGTTCAACATTTCACACTTCATTACTGTGGCAGCTAGAGGATGGATTAGTAACAGTTTTGCAGGGGGAGATGTGTGGCCTGGCTTATGTAACCTATTATGGAAACACTGAGCATGGATTAGAAATATCCAAAACAAGCAGGAGCAGAACAAAAGATGCTCATATAAAGCTCCTGTAGTAGTGAGACCGAGAGAATGAAGCGATGCGAGCATGCCGAGACAGGTGTGTCTGGTTGCGTAGAGACGGAAAGACAGACAGAAATACGAGCTCTGAAACTGCAGATGAGGCTGTGACACTGAGGGGGAACCATAACCGAACGGGGAGAAGCTTTTTCATGCACTTTGTTGACGTGATTAATGGTCCGGAGAAAAACTGGCCCAATCCAAGGTGTGGAAAGACATTTGACTCGGAGCTGGTGGCAGTCAGTGCGAGGCAGCAGAACAACATCTTATAAACAAGTATGAAACACCTAATAAATTGGTAATGAAACACTGCTCAGGGCCATAAATGAAGATTTACCTGCTCAAGCTGTGACACACTTTAAATAGAGTGAAAATTAAGACAGCATCTCTGGGATCTGCAGTCACTGTATGATTACAGAAGCAATTTAAATGTGAATATCTGAAATTTGGAGGGCAGAAAATAAAGAAAGTCATCGTAATTAAAAAAACATTTACCGAAGAATATCATAAATCTGTGAATCTCAACAAAAGCTCACTCATACAAAATAATGTTTGTACCAACAAACATGGACGTTGTGCATCTTATATCTTAATACCATTAAG